AAATCAAATCAATCAAATCAAATCAATAATTCTCTAAACAACTGCAGTGATTTCTTTAACACCATGGCAAAAGTGGTCATAAATGCAGCCATCTCGTTTAGCAACAGAAATTCTGGTCCCGCCTGCAGTTGTAAGTCAAACACAACCTATACAGTCCATGTCTTGATAGTTCTAATAATAATAATAATAATAATAATAATAATAATAATAATAATAATAATAATAATAATAGATTCTGGCTGGGGAAAAACTTAATTGGGTAAAGGTCTTCCAGTATCTGTTTGTCTGTTTAGTCAGTGGGCCAAAATCTACTAATACTGCTCTGCTAACTCTCATTGAACCAACAATACAGTAATATAAAATTTCAGTGTAAAGAATGAATGTTTCATATACTGCTTTATTTCTTAGCATATTCTGTTCCAGGACAAAAGATCCTAGGCATAAATTGTTTTTGGGGAAAAAAAAGATCTTTGGGAATTTTCTTCTCTAAATTAGCTGTTTTTAAAACATTTGGAAAAACTATCTATAATACACATGCCAAACCCTAAAGGATTAATTTTTTAAAAAGTGCACTGATCAAACAGCAGACCAACATTTTTTCTTAATTACTTTCCCAATGCATTTTTAATCAATTAAGAGGTGGTTTTTCCCAAGTAACTAATCAATACGGTAATTCTTGTAGTTGTATAATTTGTATTAGATCACCCAATACGTGGAAAATAGACAAGCTGTATCAATGGTCAAAGTTAGGAAGCTATTTTGCCTGTGAGTCTATCAATTTTAATAAAATTGAGCTATAATTAGCATTAATAACCTGAAAATGCTAACATGGGTCCAATGAATGCAATTATTTTACTTGTAACAAAAACAATTTTTTCTTGACAGTATGTAGGTATCTTGCCAACAGGATCTGTTTTTCTGGCTCACCCTGGCAATAAAAGGTTTTAAAATATGTGTAAAACAAAAGGAGAACAAATCATAATTTGAAGTTGTCTGACAATGAAAGGCATAACATCAGCAAACCCCAATAACCCTCTTCAAACTATGCATATAGGGAGTAAAAAAGTCTAATTTTTAATAAAATATTCTCCACTTTAAAAATTCTACTGCTATAAAAACAGGCACATTAGTGAAAGTTGAGCTCAAGTACACGTATTAATTAGAATTCAGGATACAGGACAAGGATACAGGATACAGAAATATCAAGGAGAAACGGGAATGTCATACAATTTACAGTTTCTAAAGTCTTGTTCCCTGATAAAAGCCTTTACGGAACTTCACTTTCAAACAATAACAGCCTATATGGATGGAAAATACAGAGGATTACCAACGACACACCTTTTACACACTTGCAATAACTTATAGGTGGAAGATTTGACCCATTAGTTATTACATTGCAAACTTTTAGCAGGAACTCTGGTCTAGGTTCATGATGCCCTTGTTAATCCAATTGAAGCAATCTAGATTAAAAGAAAAAAAATGTTTTTTTGTTGTCTGATGAAGACAAACATGTAACAAAGCATTGCATGACTTGCAATGGCTGCAAGAAAGCTACGAAAGCCTGACATCCTGACAATTGTGTTTTTAATATTAAAAGTAAAGGTACCCCTTGCACATATGTGCTAGTCGTTCACGACTCTAGGGAGCAGTGCTCATCTCCGTTTCAAAGCCAAAGAGCCAGCGCTGTCTGAAGATGTCTCTGTGATCATGTGGCCGGCATAACTAAACACCGAAGGCTCACGGTATGCTGTTACCTTCCCACCAAAGTGGTCCCTATCTTTCTACTTGCATTTTTACATGCTTTCGAACTGCTAGGTTGGCAGAAGCTGGGACAAGTAACGGGGAGCTCACTCCATTACACGGTGCTAGGGATTCGAACCGCTGAACTGCCAACCTTTCTGACCGACAAGTTCAGAATCTTAGCCACTGAGCCACCACGTCCCTGCTTTTAATATTAGAGGGGATCTATTGATAGGTTTGCTATAATTTTATATGTATTTTGCTAATGGTTTTGCTTATTTTGCTATATTTTGCTTGCTTGCTTGGTTTGCAAATAAATATTTAAATACAAATAAGTGGTAGCCTGCACATTTTTGTGCTTCAGTTTGGTGAAGAACTATATCAACCATCGAGGCCAAAAGAGGGGGGGAGAAACAAAAGTTCATAAATATATACACCCCTCACACACACACCCCATAATGGTGAATCTCCCCATGATTATTAAACCAAGCAATCATAACTTATCAATTAAGTTAATTGATAACTTAAGAAAAATTGAAATATCCCTGATATATTTTCTTGTGCCTTGGTTGAGTAAATGCATCAACCCAACCATCCTGTGTGGAAACTCAAATCAATCTGTGGAAAGTCAGTCAATCCATGGACGTTAACTTTCAAACCACTTGGCGAGGTTCTGGATGGTCTTGGGCCGTTTCCCCACCTCTCTGACTACGTTACAAACTTTGCAACAGTGTTCGGTCCAAAAGGACGTCACCCTCACATCATACCGTTTCCTCCAAGCGAAATGCTTTCTGTACATGTTTTTGTTTTTATCTAGGAATTTCAGGTAAACCGCCAGCTCCATGGGGTCGGAGAAGTCATTGGCATGAATGAAGGCTTCGGAAGGAATAAACTGTTCGTAGTTGGCCCTCGGGGGACCCAAGACGATGGGGACAGCCCAGGATTGAAAGGCGTTCCTCCAGAGTTTCTCCGTGATGTAGTCCTGATGCTGGGAGTTCTCAAAAGCCAAATAAAACTTGTATTCCGAGATGGTCTTCACCACGTTGTTGTCCATGAGCCTCAGTCCGTGAGATCCATACACATGAATGGGGAGATACCTTCTCAGCTGGTAGTAATAACCGACCCGGGCTTGACTTTCATTCCAGTTACTGATCACCCAGGCCACCAGCTTGGTCTTCTTGGGCAAGGCCAACTGGACCAGGGGCTCCGGGCGAAGCTGGAGGTACCCATAGGGTACAAAGACATCCGAATCTGCTCGGTAGGACATAGTCCAGTTGAAAAGGCCGCCCAGGTCTCGCAGGCCCCCGGTGTGGCTGGGCGACTCAAAGTTCATCCAGACCCACCGCTGGTCCCGCGGCCTCTGCCGGGGCAGCTGGGCGAGGCCATGGCTCTGCAGGTCCCGGTGATGGAAGAGGACGGCGTGCGCCTGGGGCAGGAGGCTGCGGTTGGTGGAGAGGCTGCAGGCGCTGATGTTGAATTGCATGCAGGCGCCGGCGACGCCGCCGCCGCTCCTGAAAGGCGCCCACCACACCATCACCGTCGTCTCCCTCGTCTCCGTTGCTGTCTCAGGGTCTTTTTCCTCCCGCTAGGGGCCTTCCAGCGCCGCGGAGTCNGAAAGAAAGAAAGAAAGAAAGAAAGAAAGAAAGAAAGAAAGAAAGAAAGAAAGAAAGAAAGAAAGAAAAAGACGGTTTAATCTGTATTAAAACTTTTTGGCTCGCTGCCTTAAATTTCATTTCCTTTAAAAGATATACTGTGTGCAGTAACATCTGACCAGCGGGAAATCAAACAGGCTTGACCCTGGTTAGTGCTTTGATGGGAAATTCCACGGATATAAATTAGATCGGAAAGTTGAAAATCTTCCTGAAAGACAGCAGTGAATTTTCAACATTAAAAAAAATAGATCACATTAAGGCTCCTTTCATTTCTTTCCAGCCTTTCCAGCAAATGATTTCAAAATGCATATTTCAGTTTGCAAGCTTGTCTACTTTGTGTCTTTCTTTTCTTCCCATCACAGCATTTTCAATTCCACACAATTTCAAAATCCTTGATGAATCATAAAGCTCTCTACTACTAATGCCAACGCAACAAAATGAAAATAAATTACAAGGAGATTCTACCTGTCTCTAATCAGAAGCCAGTTTACATGAAACTTATCAACGGGTGAGACTGTGGCTTTATCCTGTGTGAGCGAATCTGATTTAATTGAAATTATAACTAACTTTTCCCCAACTCAGGAAAATTCCAACATGTCCAAATATTTAAAAAAAACACTCCACCCCACGGAAACTCTTGGTAAACTGGTGAAGTTGTTTGCTTTATTTTTTTTCCCCTACCACATCTCTCCTTACTTTTCTTCAGGGTGCAAAAACATTCATTTTTAGTGAAAGAAATCTTTCATGAGCTCCAAATAGAAGTCTTTTTATAGCATTTTTTTTCTCCTGTGTAATTCATATCTACAGGCAACCTAGCTGAAAAAAAGCAGAGATGAGGATATTTTGAGCCTGTTGCAACTTAGAAGGCGCAGACAAAAAAAAACGTCTTTGAGATTGCTGGAATCAAGACTGTGAAACACATCCAATTCAGTATCAGTTTACGTGCAGCGAATAAAAATAGTCATTGACTGGCAACTGTTGTTTAGTGACCATTGGAAGTTGAAATGGCATTGAAAAAAGTGACTTATGACTGAGCTTCACAATTAAAATCAGTGCAGCATCCTCATAGTCATTGAGGAAAAATTGGCTACAGTGCCCTTGGGTTATTTGATTGTCATTTGCAACCTTCCCAGCTGGTTTCCAACAAGCAAAGGCACACCAGATTACCTCATGATGACTTTAGAACACCCCCTGTCGGCTGTGACCAGGGGGACCTTTGCCCAGGTTNACAAGAAAAAGAAAGAGCTAAATATGCTTAAGGATCACAACATGTTTCTTTTGGAGTGTAAAGGTAAAGTGATGTTCTCTTGATAATTTTAAGGAAATCAATGTGCTCTGAATAAATATTATTTATTTAGCTTAAAAATATTATTTCTTGCCTGTGTTCTTCTAAATTACTTATTTATACACAATATTAATATTAATCCCAAGATGCTTACTTACAAACATAAGGCTTCACACACCATGCTAAGTCATAATGTGCTTTGTTTTATTAGGGGTTTGAAAGTCTTGAAAACTCAAACATTGGAATTATAAACCACGGTTTGTGTCTTACTATTGTGTAGAGAGCACAGTGTTGCTGTTAGGATGTACATTATGTAAAGTATATTATTATTACATACAGCAACATGTGGTCAAAATTTTGTATCTTTTTTTTTGGCTAGTATTCCCTTTCTTTCATCATTGAAACCAGTGGTGGGTTCCTACTGGTTTGGCCCGGTTTGGCCGAAGTGGTAGTGGTATGGCAGCCTGGGTCACTGGAACCGGCAGCAACTCAGCCCTGCCACGCCCCTGAACCAGTGTCGTCACCGTCGTCATCTTTTTTTTTTTGAGTTCTGTGCATGTGCAGAACAATTTTAATTGAAATGCACATGCACACGCAGCGTACATCCAGCATGTGTGCGAAGCATGCACATGAGTGAACTGGCAGTAAAGCCAGCCGGAACCCACCCCTGACTGAAACCTTTATTTTTTTCCCCAAAGGACTTATGTCCCTATAAACCATGGCTTCAATGACAAGGAAATGAATCTGACTAAACCTTACTTCAGATAAATGCATTTCATCCTATAGCCAACAGCCTTTGGATATAAAGTTAATGTCCAAAATTTAGAGCTTTGGTATATCCATAAGCCACTAAAATTAATTCAATTAATTCTGTCTTTGTTGAATTATAATTTATCTATATATTCTTAACCTTTACACAGATGCCATTCTGAAGATGGTAGCATTTCTAAATATAATGTACATTTACAGTGTGGTGATTTTTCTAATGGACCATGGCTTGTAATAATGGAAATGAGTATAGATTCCTCTTAGGCTCTTCTGCTCTCCTCTTTTTCTAGTAAGATGGTAGGAATTAAGAAACTATTGTGCCCATAGGCAGCTTCCACACACAACATTTCCAATCTTACATAAATTTTGCTGGCAGCAATTTAAAAGGAACACTCTATATTTGGCAAAAAAAACCTTCCTAAAATCTTCTATCTTGTTCCCTTGAACATATGGAACACTAGTAAGTTCTACCATTTAAAAAAAACCTTGCATTTAACAGCAACCCAGATTTCATTCCTGTAAATAATAAATGCAATACAACTTTACATCATTTAAAAGTTGAAACATTACCCATAAATACCTCTCTTCAGATATGTATCAAGAGAGAACAAGATCTCCAAATGTTATCCTGAAGTATTACATAATAACTCCCAACAGCGAAGCCCAAATCACTAATGAAAATACAGCCTTTTGAAGAGTGATCCTGCATTGCCAGCTGTCTGTCTTTGCCTCAACTATCACAACTGCAATCTTTAAAAGGAAAAAAAAGAGATTTTTTTTAAAGCTATTTATGTTACACACGCTTATGCCAGCAATGTTGCTATGAAATCTTTGCTGAATTGTTAGGGATTAGTTCTTGCCAAACCCTCAAATGTCCAAATGGTGTTACACTGAGAAAAAGTGCTTGTAAAATGAAAGAAAAAAAGAAAGAAAACAGTATAAAATAGTATGGAAATATCTTAGAAGAAACAGTCAATACCACTGCTGTGAGATTTGTCTGTCTCTTGATAGCAGTTGCTGGAGAACTGTTTTAGGCATTATTTGATGCTCAATGCTTAGCCTGATCGGTTTTCTGGTTTGATCCAGACCAGTTGTCTTGATCTTCAAAAGTCTTCTTCCTGTCTGCATACCCCTCATTATTTGCCAATCTCCCTCTTTGGGCCATTTGCTACAGTGTTACTTCCTATGTCTTTAGTTCAAGTGGGAATAGGTCCGGTGAAACAAAGCTGGCAACATTTTTTAGTAATAAAAGCAATGTATGTCTGCAACCTTATTTGATTCAAGAAAACAATACAGCACACAGGGCAAAATCTTATCTTATAACCACATCACAATGAAGGATTTATGTACATTGATACCATGCTCTCCATCAGCATTTCATTTGCAAGAAACAAAAAACCTTTTGAAGTATGATGATAAATCTATGCTGCAACTCCAAATACCCTGGGTATCTATGCTTTCATGTACTCAAGTTTCACCAAGATACTTAGCCAAGCAAATTAATTATAACAATTGTATTGATGCCTTCAGTTAGCTGTGGGTAGCCAAGAACTATGGAAGATGTGGAAATGGAACAGGAGCTTGCTCACAATGAACTTGGCCATGGGCACTTTACCATCTGCCATTGTGGAACAAAGTAGATGCCTAAATGATATGCTGCCATTATAGGCAGAGGAGGTATGCTGCGGATCCCATCAGGCAAGGAATTCTGACTGGTGGGGTCCAAGAGAAGAGCCTTCTCTGCTGTGGCCCCAGTCCTTTGGAACACGCCCCCTGAGCTGAAATTGGTTTCCACCCTCCTGACGTTCTGCAAGAGCTGAAGATGTAGTCCTACCAGTTGGCCTGGGGCCCTGAGAGGGAAGGAGGAGAACCAAGCTGGAGTTGGTTGGTAGAACAATAATAGATCCCACCTCCTCCCATGTATTCTTTGTATTCTTTTAATTATAATTTTGTATTTTTAATTATAATTATAATTTTGCATTCTTATTGCTATAGATTTACCACTTTTACTGTTGTCCAAACTCAACTTTTGGTGAAATGGGTAGCAAATAAATTTAATCAGTAAATAAATAAAAATAAATGATTCTATTTGTTGTAGCAATAAAATAACAGTACCTTCTAAGTTATAACTTTGTCCGGTTTATACCTATATGAATTGAGCTCTATGAAAATGTGAATACAGCATATTAAAAAATCTTACACATCAACAATCTATAGATGTTTGCTTTTGCAACCTACTGTAGATTGTACTAGTCTAGTGCTTGAAATCCAAATTTGAAGATTTAAGCCATCTATTCTAGGAAGGAAAAGCAAAAAATATCTCCCACTTTACTTTGCTATTCCCATGATGACTGAGACAAAACAGGAGTTGTAATCTAGCACAGTTTTGGTACCAACTTGGAGAAAATGACCTTATAACTATGTTACTATTCTTGTTTGTCTTCTGCAAGAAATTAGATTTTATGAATGGTCAAAAGTATATTTTTTTCAGAATGAGCAAGTTTTCGTGAAACTAAAAAATAATGCCTACATTTTGAGGGGTTGTTTTTTTCTCTTGTTGCATTTCTGTAAAAAATCTAAGCACACTATAGCAGAATTATTTTGTTTTAAGAGCAATCCATTTTTATAATTTTAAAGACTTCTTTTCTTTAAAAGCTTTTTAGGTTTTTCAGCTATGTATCTTTTTATAGTTTGACTTTTTGAATTATACAAAATTGTTTCAATACAGAATAAAAAAGAAAACAATTTGATCGTTGTAAAAACAAAACAAAACAGGTTTTCCATAAGGCAATAGATTTTAGTTTTCTGGCTAGACTTCTTTTTCATCCA